AGACATGGCATGATTTCGCGAGGTTAGATATCGAGGTTTAGACATTGCATGATTTGGTGAGGAGAGATATTGGGGTTTAGACATTGCATGATTTGGTGGGGTTAAATATTGGGGTTTAGACATTGCATGATTTGGTGAGGTTAAATATTGGGGTTTAGACATTGCATGATTTGGTGGGGTTAAATATTGGGGTTTAAACATGGCATGATTTGGCGAGGTTAGAAATTGGGGTTTAGACATTACATGATTTGGCGAGGTTAGATATTGGGGTTTAGACATTGCATGATTTAGTGGGGTTAAATATTAAGGTTTAGACATGGCATGATTTCGCGAGGTTAGATATCGAGGTTTAGACATTGCATGATTTGGTGAGGTTAGATATTGCGGTTTAGACATTGCATGATTTGGTTGGGTTAAATATTGGGGTTTAAACATGGCATGATTTGGCGAGGTTAGATATTGGGGTTTAGACATTGCATGATTTGGTGAGGTTAAATATTGGGGTTTAGACATTACATGATTTGGCGAGGTTAGATATTGGGGTTTAGACATTGCATGATTTAGTGGGGTTAAATATTAATGTTTAGACATGGCATGATTTCGCGAGGTTAGATATCGAGGTTTAAACATGGCATGATTTGGTGGGGTTAAATATTGGGGTTTAAACATGGCATGATTTGGCGAGGTTAGATATTGGGGTTTAGACATTGCATGATTTAGTGGAGTTAAATATTAAGGTTTAGACATAGCATGATTTCGCGAGGTTAGATATCGAGGTTTAGACATTGCATGATTTGGTGAGGTTAGATATTGAGGTTTAGACATTGCATGATTTGGTGGGGTTAGATACTGGGGTTTCGCCATGCATGATTTGGCGTGGTTAAATATTGGGGTGTAGACATGGCATGATTTGGTGGGCTTAAATATTGGGGTTCAGACATGACATGATTTGGCGAGGTTAGATATTGGGGTTTGACATGGCATGATTTGGCGAGGTTAGATATCGGGGTTTAGACATTGCATGATTTGGCGTGGTTAAATATTGGAGTGTAGACATGGCATGATTTGGTGGGCTTAAATATTGGGGTTTCGAAATGACATGATTTGGCGATGTTAGATATCAAGGTTTAGACATTGCATGATTTGGTGGGGAAATATTGGGGTTTAGACATTGCATGATTTGGTGGGCTTAAATATTGGGGTTTCGAAATGACATGATTTGGCGATGTTAGATATCAAGGTTTAGACATTGCATGATTTGGTGAGGTTAGATATTAGGGTTTAGACATTGCATGATTTGGTGAGGTTAGAAATTGGGGTTTAGACATTGCATGATTTAGTGGGGTTAAATATTAAGGTTT